TTGGGTTCTCTTTGATTTGTTGTAATTTTATTCAAAATATCATTGCTGATAATTTTTATTTCTGCCAACTTCAACTTCTTTACATATTTTCACACTATGTTTATTGAATTTTACCGCTACTTCATAAAATGCTTCTATTGTAGCATTGTTGTGTTACAAGATTTTTATACTTTGTTCATTTTATCCATTCGGTTTGTAATTCTATTCTCAACAGCCTCAAGTAAATGTTTTATTTCATTTTTATTTCTTACTAATGCTGCTTCAAATTAATTTTTATTTTATTAGGCTGTATTGGCTTACTTCACTTCATTTCACTCCTTGGCATCTTAATCAAATCTCTCCGAGTATAGTGCCTTTGCACATGTCCCACTCCATGAGGAAAGTTAAATTTGCAACAACTACGATAATAAAGACGGAAACTCTATTCCTAAAATACGTGCACAGCATTTGCCGTTCGCTGTACATATGTGTTAAAAGTTCATTTATTAATAGTTTAAGAGGTCGGTTTTGTTCATCTAATGGTTGTTTGTAACATCTAAATCTAATTATGACAGATAAAGTGTTATATATACTTTTATCATCAGGTGGTCGAGACGAGTTGAAATTTGGGTGACTGCCTATCAGTCCATGAAAGCGTTGTAAAAAGCTAAATCCACCAGACTTGCTGAGAAGAATTCTTGCTAGCAACTGCTCCTGCTGTGTGAATATGGGTGAAATCAAAAACCAACCACGCCCACTCCCCATATAACGGTTATCAAGAAAACTATTAAAAGTACGTTTACTCAATAAATAAATGCGTCAGAGATATCTGATTTAACATCCTTAATGTTACGATGGAACTTTTAATCTTTGGTTGAGTTTATAACACATACACTGCGCTTCATCAGGTTAGCACATTTCAGATTTAAATAGTTTTAGGTAATTTCTATCAAAACTAAAGAAGCTATAATTCTAAAATTATTAGTGATTATTTACGAAATTTCTACCAAATAAAATAACAATTAGTGTTTCACCTTATTTTCATATATTTTAATAATTGTTTTTTTTTCGAAATCAACAAAAAAAATATTTATCATTTGTGTTAATTAATTTAAACATTTTTATATTATTTTAATAATGAGTCGATTCCTCATTGTTGAGAATGGTATCTTAGCTCCGATTGGGTAGCGATTCGTACAATTTTCCGATGTAAAATAATTTAAGAAAATTTATGACAAAGCATTTTTAATACCTTCAACGAATTCGTCTTTAGTGGAATACTGCTGGCCAGACTCGAAAACTTTTTAAGGCAACCATCCCCACCCCCCAGGTGAGTAAGGCGCCCACTGCATTAAATCGACTTTTTATCTTTCACTCTGAGACTTAAACACCCGGGCAGTGTCAATCGGTTCTTTATCGTATCGTGCAAAGTTCCAAACAGATTTTGAAAATGGAGTAAAGCAGTTTCCGATACGTTTTTATAGGCGTTTGCATTCACATTAGTATTAAAAAATTGCAGTTCGCACCTACCATATTAGAAGATGGATCCCCACACCGTCAAACTGCTTACACTGCAACTGATGTCCCTACTTTCGAAGATCATGGAAATAATAATTGTATCAATCGGCCTTTCCAAATAGGTTTTTTATCATCTGAAAAGACAACATAGTACAAATTTTTCCTTTCGACAAATTAAAGAGAAAAGAGCACTTAAGCATATATAACAATTTGGTGTTAATACCTATTCAAACTCCGAAGATAAATGCAAATCAAATTAGTTGTGCTTACCTGATGACGCAAAAATAAAACACAATTTCGGCTAAAAAGAACGGAAAATATCAGAAACCAGTGATTGGTCATACGAAGATAAAAAAACAAAGAAAATCACAAAACGATAAAGTAGCTGAAAGTTATTAACAGAAAAATCAGAAGCAATTGTTTTAGGCTCATGAAGGTTCTAACCGGGTGACGTACGTGTATATCACATTTAAGATTTAATGTATGGGCCATTCCATTCAAAAAATTTTTTCGTCCAAAACATTGTTTTGTGAGGCAAAATACTGGACACGTATTTTTTTATTTTGACTCTATGGAAAATTTTGGAGTTATGAATTTTCAAAATTTCAACGATCGAAGTAAGTATCCATAAACTTAGGCGACCATATTTGCCCCGTCAAAATCCGGGACGGTTCTTTTAGTAATTGATTTTTCCATATTATAATTCACTGAAAATCGCGACATAGCATTGGTGAGAGAGCAACACAATTTTATTCAAATCATTCTTTTTTTCTAAGTCCGGGACGCTTAACTCGGAATCCGAACTGTCCCGGCCAAACCGAGACGAATGGTCAGCTAACTATAAACATTTTGGGTATACGAAGAAAGGTATTTCATTATAAAAATATTTAGCCGGTCTAACCCTTATGTTAGTAACCAACTTTACCGACTTTTTTTTTAGCAACCGTTTACCGGGGTACTTACGATCTGAGTATTATTATTATTTTGTTTCTTTTATTAAAAAAAATGTTTAGAAAAAATATTAATAGTCAGTGACAATTTAGAGAAAAGAATAACAACGTAGAATAAAAAAATAAATAAATAAATTTAAAAAAATGAACTCACAAATAGCTTTCTTTTAAGTTAAAAAATGACGATTTGAGAGCTTAAAATGAAATATTGAATTTTTTTTAAGCTATTCACACAAATACACCGCGGTGGGTACCCGGTTACTAACATAAGGGCTAATGTTTACGATTTTATCTCAACTTTCTAATGAGATATAGATTGAACTTTTTCGTTTTTTTTTTTTATAAACAAAGGTTATTTATGAAGGTTAAAGGATCGGTTACACCGGAACTTCCTCTTGTTATCATCAAATTCGAGTTATGGGCTTAGAAAAGAAAAATTCGCTGTTGGTGAATTCGTTATAAGCAGATGAAAACCGAATAAAAATTTAATTTGGGCGTAAAAAAATCTTAGGAAAGAAAAATTCGCTATAAGTGAATTCGTTATAACGAGAATGAAACATACTGAAAATTTCATGAAATTGCAATGCTTTAGAAATTAATTCGCTATAAAAAAAAACTTCGTTGTACAGAAGTTCGTAATAGATAAGTTCGATTGTATTTAAAGAAAATATATGTATATAAACTTAATTTTTTTATTTTATTTATTTATGAACATTTCAACAATTGATTAATTTACCAAAATACAAAAAAAAAGTAATTTTCTTTGAAAACTTCACATTTGTAAATATCTTTTAAATAATATTTTCTTCGTTAAATATTTTTTGTTGTGAAATTTTTTTTTATTATTTAGAATGTGTATTGTTGTACCATTATGATTAAACTAATATGTATAATTGTGCCTAAAAGCTGCATTCTTATAAGTGGACTGTAAAGTTGTCAATATCAGAAACTGAGGCATTTAAGCACAGCAACCTATAAACTTCATGACGAACGTACAAATTAATTAATATCTACTGAACGCAACGATTTGAAATTAAAACATCCTCATATGACCTATGACCAATATATAAAGTGTAAAGTCAACAGGATGCTTGAAAATCCTGGACTAATTATATGATTGATTGATTAATTTTGAGGTATACACCGCGACCTACGATCTATTGTGCCCTCCCCTAAGTCATATCGTGTCATCTAGTCCCAGCATATTGATAAATTCTAAAATTCTGCTGGGTGCTAGTGAGGCGATACAATCCCTGTGTGGAAACATGGATCCCAGGGCCTTGATTCTGCGTCTGCAGACTGCTGTGCAGCTCATCAGCAGATGTTCGGGGGTTTCCGGCTCTATGTCGCAGAACCGGCAGTTTGCAGAAGAGGCTATGCCCATGTTAAAGAGATGCTTCTTGAGCCTGCAGTGGCCGGTGTAGAACGCTACCAGTAGCCGGAATTTGTTCCTTGGGAGTCTAATTATATGGAAGACAGGATAATTTTTCACCTAATTTTATTTATTTGAGGCACAAAGATACACTGTTATTGGAAAAAGATTCTCCGAATTTCATTAAGATAACTAACATATTGACCGATATATATGGTATAAAGTCAATTCAGAGATCCTGTGCAAATTTGGTTGATATAGCTACATAAAACCTATTAGAGGGGACCACGTCCACTTTTTAAAGATTTTCGAGCCAAAGATGCCCCTCCCTAATACAATTTTTTGTACCAAATTAAAGTTTTGCAGAGCTTAGTTATGATACTTTATACGTGTTCGCTTATGGGTGTGACAATGATCCGATTGCATCCATCTAAAATACCTAACTTCAAGCCACATATGTATGTACTAAGTTTCATGACGATATCTCAATTTTCTATCTGGATTAGTTTTAGGTGGTACAAACAACCGTTAGGTATATTATACTCTATTGCAAGATATTCCGAGAGTATAAAAAATATCTTTTAATAGCACTTATATGCTATAGTGCTACGATATAGGCGATTCCGACAGCTGAGCAGCTCTTTGGGAAGAAAAGAACGTGTGAAAAATTTTAGACCGATATCACAAAAATTGAGGCACTAGTCGCATTACACTGATCAGTTATAAAGATATACTTTATAGGGTATCAGATGTTTCCTATTAGTGCTACAAACTTTGTTAGCCTGTGTACAATTAGTCTATTATAGCTTCTATTCCGAAAAATCCGTTGTTTCCACCACTATTGTATTTCGCAGTAGGTATACTGCATTCAGCTTAGTCTCCGGCCAAAATGGAAGAATATTTTGTAATAAAAAAAACTTTCTATTATATAATGATCAAAAAATGAGAGTGATTGCAAAAGAAAAGTTTTAAGTACTGGAGTGGATGTTGTTTCTATTATTTTTTTTTAACAGTGTTTTGTTGATAGACAATAATTTCAAATAATATACTGTAGTTTTAATTTCTGACTTTTTTGTTTCAAGAGAAATATGAATTTCAAAATACGCACTAATGGGTACTTTTGATTTTAATACAATTTATTATTGATGCTTCTTTAGAAGTGATGAAAAATGCTACTTTCATTAATTTTATCAAATAAGTTTTTATTTAAACGAGTTTTCGAACTTCTTTGGGTCAAAATACATTTCAAAAATTTTTATACCTTATGTATGTATGTATTTTCATACAATTTCTAATTGTAAGCAATTTTCACTGGTGTGATTTTTTTTAAGTTACAGAATGCAATTAAAATCTGTTTTTGTGTGTTATGCATCAACTACATTGAAAATGTATTTTTCTTAATATTTTGTAACTTTTTACTTGAAAGAAATAATTACTAATTAACATGACATACCTATAACCTTGTAGTTTATTAAGTTTGCTTGTTATTTTTTAATAGTAGTGTGAACTTTTATTTTCCTTTAAATTATTAGTGTTAATACAATTAAGAAAGTTACAATAAAATGATATTTGCTTTGCATGAGGGTGATAATGAGATGATAGTTTATTTGCTTCACTTCATGGATTTTATTCATGTGATCATATCAAATAATTTTGTTTATACGAACTTCTTAACGTAGTTCGGGGGTTGTTTTTGTTATTTCATATCATTTAAATTTTAACTGCTATAATTTTGCAAAACTGGAAATAGTTTTAAAAATAATGGAAAGTGAATATTCCTTCCACTTTCGCTATCATTTTGTAAAAAAAAAATTAATTTAATCAAACAACAAAAATATACACATTACTTAGCTAGCAGTGGGACTACTAGGACTTTATATATACGACAAGTGCTATTGCATTGGCTATGCTAGTGTGGCTCTTGAAGTTATTATTGGTTAAAACGTTTTGACCTGAAAAATTGCTTCTCTTTTTGCTTGTTCATACGCTCTGGCGCTGTTGTTATTGGGCGGTTTATTTATTCTTGTTTTGGTCTTTTCCTTAGTATTATAGGACAATATATATATATGTATATATTTGAATGCATCAATTCAATAAAATGGTACTGAAAACAGAAGTGTAATATATAGCTTGTGATAGTTCATTAAACAGGATTTTAATATTTGTCAGCAGTTTCTGTTTCTTTTCTTCACTATATGATATTAAATTTGATGAAGCTTCAAACTTATTTTATTTCTTGATTCCTCATTTATTATTTGCTTCTTTAATTTCATTGTTTCATTAGTTGTTCTTTTTTTGTTTTGTTTTTTGATATTGCGTCCGCGCCACAAATATCCAGAGCTTTTAAGCCAATGTTGGGAATTGACGTTCGTCGTTGACTTTTGGTGCAACATTTTGTTGTCTAAAACCACCAAAGTTACGCTTTCCGCCTCTGCCTGCATTAACGCCGCGTCCACCACCTATTGGTGGTCGTTCGGTAGCATTGAAATTGGTGTTGGTGTTGGCATTGGGATTAGGGGCGCCACCTCCTGGACGAGATCCACGTCCACGTCCTCGTCCACCAAAACCAGCACCTCGGCGACCGTCATTGAAATTGAATTGTATGTCAAGTACACGTTGTTGACGTCCAACTCGCTGAGGGTACATGGCAGGATCGTATTCAAGTTCCTCTTCACTTTCATTTTCCTTTTTCTTATTATTGTTTAGAACTACCATTTTCTTCCATTGAGTTGTATCTTCACCTAAAAATGAATACACAGTTCATGAAATTAATTTTCCGTTTTAGGTATTCAGTTAAGAGTCACTTCTTTTTTTTACACTTACCTTCTCCAGCTTTACGAATATTGAAAGTTGGTTTGACTCGTTGTTGTTTTTGCGCCTTCCATTCATCCAGCGTTAATTCTTTGGTTTCTTCTTCGACCGGCGTTTGGTCAGGCTGTTCGTTACCAGACTCTTCAGCCTTATCGGTAACATTGCCACCCTCTACATCGCTCTTATTGACGTCATCGATAGCTTCTTTGACAGATCCCCAATTATGTGCGCCAGCACCATCACGTTTGTCAACTGCTTTTACACCTATGAAAAATATTTATTTTCTTACATTCTTTGATCTCCGCTTTGTAATATCAAATATTATTAAGATTCCGCTAATTCGAAGTAATTATATTTTTATGCAATAACAGTTATTGTGAAAAATAAAGATGGCTGATGGATAAAGTTCTTTAAGCCTTTATAACCTACTTCGTAAAAACATTGACATTTAGCACGTTTTGACATTGCTAATTCCATTGTTCTTGTATGTGAACATATATTTAATGTGGCTACATTTCTACAACACCAATACATATAAATTTATAAATTCATATATTCGAAGATATATTTATAAGGGAATATATTTTTACACTTACCAGTTTTATCAGATCCCGATTGGCGGTCGAATTCACGTTTTCCTCCACGATTGCCGCCTTCGAAATTGCGGTTACGTGGTGGTCCGCGATTATCGCGGTCCCGAAATTGTCGTGGTTGCTGCTGTGCTGAGCCATCAATTTGATTTCCAAAATTCCCAGTGTATCCATTTTCTCGAGCATTACGACGATTATTACGTTGTTCACGAGTTTCATCGTTTTGCTGTCTAAAATTTAAGTTTCTCGTGCCCTGTTGCTGTTGCCCACCTTGAACGACTTCACTAGCGGGACCAGTTCGTTTGCGATTGGTGTTAGTAGTTGACCCACCTTGTTTGCTAGTTCTATCCACAGTATTACCTGCCGGTGACTTCTTATTCGGTTCATTTTTGTTCAAGGCTGATGGCTTATTCTCTTTTTCAGCTTGGTTGGGTTTCTTATTCGATAGTGCCCTTGTAGGACCGTCGACATTTTGTTTATTCGATAACTTTGTAGAGGGTGCACTACCCCCACTGGCACCAGCAGTTTTAACCTGCTTTTTCGACTTGCTCGCAACATTATCTAATGGATCACTAACATCATCGTCCATGAACAAAAGTTCATAACGATTATTTCCAGAGCCATCCATAATTGGCGTTTTTGTGAATTATTTGTATACTTGCCTCTTGCTTTTTCTTTGCCAATTTCTTACAAATTTGAACTAACCTTAATTTCTGCTTTCTGCTGCACGATATTCAAGACTAAGAACACATGCCCAGCATTGAAAAAGCATGGTATACATATAAGAAGAAGAAGAGTGCTGAAATATTTGACAAGTGCAAAGTCTGTTAAATGGTCAGGTTAAATAGCGGAAGGTAAATTCTAACATAAAAATATGAAACACAGATGGCGCCGACTTTTATCATGTACCGCTATTCGAACATTCGATGTACCGTTTGATTTGCAGCGTCATATTTTTAGAACGCCAGAAGTTTTTTACGCTTAAATTAAGTTTAAAAGTGGGTCATTAAATTGTAAGTTAAAAAAAAAGTAAAAATAGAATATAGTATTTCCTTGTATATTAAAATCGTTTTGGTAGTGATATATGTATGTATATATCAACTAGTTTTATAGAACAAGTTGTGTAAAGTTTTCTTTTACTATTAGTATATAAGTCTGAAAAATTAACATTGGTTTCTAATTAGCGAAATTGAATTTGCAGTAAGTTTCTTTGCCAAGTTACAAATAAAGGTAATAAGCTTCGGAACTGAAGGTGATATTGATAAACAATAAAATTGTCGCTGCAAAACTAGTTAGAAATTCTGTGTTCGATACGGGTAGTAGGTGTACATATAAACACATGCACGTAAATGTATGTAAGTATATAATTACACGCATGTACTTAAATGGCATAATTGTTAACTTGAAATAATATTTATCACTTTTAAATGTTTACTATATGTATCCACATTGGTACCGCATTTGTGTCCACTACTGTATGCTCATATGTTCCAACCGTGACATTTCGTCATACTAGTTAGCGTTTGACTTTTGTTTACAAATTAACAAAGAAAAAGAACTCGTCAAATTGGCGGCTTCAAAATGCGGTTTCTTATTACAATAGCATCGCAAAGACAAAATGCAACGTCGAGAAATTAGCAATTTAAAAAATGATGTACTCCAGAAATCTAAGCAAGTTTTAAATTTATTTACAGCTAAATCGAAGAAAATGTCAGATTGGGGTGATGAAGTAAGCTATTCATATTTTAGAGTTTGAAATACATATTGAATGGTATCTTTTGAAAGCAGGACGATGGTCGCGGTTTTGGTAATGGCTCCTCCCAATATAAAGACAATGGTGATGAGTATGTAGATAACGGCGAAACTGATTACACGGAACACGAAAACACAGACGACGGGAATAAAGTTTTTGGGAGCAGACGTGGTAGAGGCGGCGTGCGAGGTAAAATAATTAATGTTTATATATAAAAATAGAGAATATTTAACTACCTAACGTTAATAATATAAGGTCGTGGCGGGCGAGGTAACAGGCATGATGCTAATTATGGCGTTGATCATCGTAACTTTGTTAATAATGAAGAGAATGGTGAGTTGATCTTTATTATATAGACCCATAGGTAGTGTACTCATAGTGGTTAATGTGAAAATTGTATACTATCGATTAAAAACAGAAACGGAAACAATTAGTCGACTTAATTTAAAATTTTGTCACTTTGTATTTGTTTAAAGTCCAATAACCAATATGGAAAAAATAAAAATTGTATATATAATCATGATCAGCATGACTCATAAATAAATTAATTAAGAGATTAAAGACAATACCGTTAAGAAAACAATTTTTTTTTTAATAGGGAACTAATTTGATTATTTAATTAATTTTGCTTTTTATTGTTTTAAAATAATTTGCTCGACTTGAGTAAATTCAAGCAAAACCTCCTAGGGAATTACTTCCTTGATGATCCCTACTGATCTATTTTAAGTTTTTAACATATCGTTTAATTTCACATATCATGCTACCACAAATACAGAACATTAACGGCGGAGGCCATCCACTGAAATTGGGTCGGCTTTAGAATAACGTCCCACGCTTTCGGGGATAAAACGGGTATGGGCGGATAGAGGAGATCCTCCAGATCAAGAATATATATAGATATAGCCGCGGGAAACTTATAGTTTTCGAGATATTTACGTTTAAAGTTGAAAATTTGAACTATTTAAAGTACGTATTTTTGCGAGTTAAAATGAATTATACACTTATATTTTTCACTTTTATATCCACTAACACTTGATTAATTCGTTTTTAGAAATTTTTTTTATATTAGATGCTGCAGAAATAGCTTTATTTCAATATTTAAATCATTCTTTAATTTTATTAATTTTGACAATAACAAAATGGTTGTGAATGTCAAAACATCAGTGTTGCCATACTAATACATTTTGCAAACGAAGAAAAATAAAATTAACAGAGAGATTGTATCCTAGATACGGGAAACAACGCAAAAAGAATTTCTGCGCGTAAAAACTTTGGTACACTCCGGTGTTGGATCGACCAGTTATTTTTTTTTTGAAGCGCGGCCGAAGGCCACTAACGCAAAAATAAGTTCTGCGCAAAAAAACTTTGATACACCCCGTTGTTGGATCGACCAGGGTTATTTTTTTGAAGCGCGGCCGAAGGCCGCCAACGCAAAAAGGAGTTCTGCGCAAAAAAACCTTGATACACCCCGGTGTTGGACCGACCAGGGTTATTTTTTTGAAGCGCGGCCGAAGGCCGCCAACGCAAAAAGTTCTACAAGAAAAAAGTAATATTGTCATAGAGGGTATAGCATAATACTTAACATCAATGCTTTGTAATAGTTTATTTCTCTAGGTTTTGGATACCTGTATTTGGGGTATTATCTGTTTTAATTTCTTTCAGTTCAATTACAAAAGATGTCGATAAGGTAACACTGGTTATTTGAAATTTTGCAACCCTTTTGTTATTGTCAGAATTAATAGAATTTAACAATAATTTAATTATTGAATTAAACTATTTTTGCACTATATAATGTAAAATAAATGTGTACAAACGAATTAGTGAAGTGTTAGTGGATATAAAAGTGGAAAATATAAGTGTATAACTCATTCGAAATGGGAAAAATGCGTACTTTAAATAGTCGAAATTTTGAACTTTAAACCCAAATATCTCGAAAACTATAAGTTTCCCGCGGCTATATCTATATATATTCTTGATCTGGAGGATCTCCTCTATCCGCCCATACCCATTTTATCCCCGAAAGCGTGGGACGTTATACTAAAGTTTTCCCCTGAAATTAAACCAGGCCCCTTTAAAAAATTTTGTTTTCGGTTAACAATGATGAATCTTTGGATAAATTTTAAAATATCATTCCTCGAATTCGGGATTACAATTGGGTATATACGGATTGAGATTCTCCAGATTAACAAAAAAAAAATTCAACTATTTAAAGTGCGTGTTGCTTTGATATAATGAAATTTATTCTTATATTTTTAATTTTTATATCCACTAAAACTTCAATAATTCGTTTTTACATATTTATTTTGTATTAAATGGTACAAAAATATTTTTTATTCAATATTTAACTTTTGTACAACTCTTTTTATTCACACATTTACAAAAGTGTTGCATTCTAACAAATATCAGTGTTTCCTTATCTACATAATTTACAAAAGACAAAGAAAACAGATAGACAGACATTAAATAAATAGAACACTATTAGTTATTCTCGTAGAATTTCTTTCTGCATTGGGGGCCTTCGCCGCGCTTCAAAAAATTACTGGTAGGCCCAACACCGGGATGTCTTCAGTTCATTTGCGTCGAACTCCTTTTTGCGTTGGCAGTCTTTGGCCGCGTTTCAAAATAATAAGGCTGGTCGAGTTATAACTCAGTTCTTTCGCGTAGGACTTTTGTGGGTTGGCCGCGCTTTAAAAAATAACCCTGATCGATCCAACATCGGGATTTACAAAGAGAAAGGAAATTCTGAAAGAGTTTGCATTACTCATCACATGGTTATGAATTTTTTATTGACAGTATAAACCTTTTTATTTATTTATTTTTTTTTTTGCAAAATGTAACACTGATTTTACGTTTGCATGCAACCATTTTGTTATTGTATGAATAAATGGATTTGTACCAAAGTAAATATTGAATTAAATTTTGTTTTGCACTATTGAATGCAGAACAAATGTGTAGAAACGAATTAGTGAAGTGTTAATGGATTAAAAGTTAAAAATGTAAATATGAAATTCATTTCAAATCAAAGAAACACACTTTAAATAGTTGAATTCTCAAACTTTAAATGCAAGTATCATTTCAGATTTTCTTAATCTGGACAATCTTCTCTATCCGTACATACCAATTAACCTCGAATTCTGGGAATGCTATTCTAAATCCCAGCCGAATGTTTTTCAATTTCTAAATTTTTTGTTTTTTATTTAACATGCTGCCAGATGGAATGGTGTTGTTGTAGGGCAGAAAACATCCCATAAGTAATTTCTAGGAATGCAATGAAATGTAACGCTTCTTGCTTTCAATATATTACATACATACTTATATATTCATATCCATTATGTAACAAATCCGAGATTTGCAACTTTTAAGGATACCTTCCAGTACGTTCACAAAATTCGTGCAAATTTTATCATTTCTGAAAGCTGGAAATTCAAACGGAAATTACATTTTTTTTTTAATTAAGCGCTTACTTTTGAAACCACAATATTGATTAAATACTCGGCAGAATATCAAATACTGCGACTTTTCGACGTATCTGTTATTTAAATCCAAAAATATTTGTACTTCTAACTTAAATAATAAAAATGCTGGAGATAGAACTTACCTTATTAAAGGTACCATTTCTTTATTGAATGAAATATTTAAATAAGAATGCTCACGAATTAATAACATAGTTTATAACTTACAAGTTATATATGCGGCGGTTTTTGTAATGATAATCCAGACCCTGCTTGGGTTAAAGCAATAAGTTAGCTGTCATCGAAATCAGTTAACGGTAGGCCCAGGAAGCGAGCTGTTGGTTTCATTGGGCATGCAAAGAGGTGATTAGAGTCATGCGGGGACTCATTGCTTGCAGGACATAGATTTTGTATGTCAAGGTCTATTCTGAGTAAGTAGGAGTTTAACCTGATACAGTCCCAAGAACGAAGTTGCGCTAGGTTCACTCTTGTTTTACGCGGCAACTCGAGTTCTTATTCTGTAGTAGGCGTGTTTGGACTCCAAGTACGCCATTTACGGGGAGGGAGTCAATGAAGGTGTTAATAGCTCCACTGTGAATGGCGTTCAGTGCCTTTCGTAAATTGGTCGCTTCCAGCAAGTGACAGCAGTGATGGTTTCTGCAAAAAACCCCGAGCAGAAACTGATTGGAGAGAAGTCTGTAGATGCTCAATGGGAGACATCAGGAGATATACTTTTATAGTCCGGAGTGCGGTGTTCTGGCAGGTCTATATCTTCTCCATCTGCGTCCTACCGCACCCAGGCGATCATATTGGAGCGGCGTAGTTGATGACCGGCTGGCCCCCGATGACAGTCGGGTCTACGTAACTGGAACGGACCCGGATTTTTATCCGATTAAGGACTGTCAACTGGCATAATTCTGCCGCTACAACAGCAACAACATGACCGGCCGCCCGATTGCCTTGTATGTTGCCAGCAACGTCTCTTTGCCTTTGTTACAAGTGCTGCCGGCCAGCGACATGAGGATCATGTTGTGGCTCTGTACTTTTGTGACAATTTGAAATCCTAAAATTTTAGGGTTGTTTACTGTCGGAATTTTGACATCATCGACAGAAATGTTGAGATCCAGTCTGTACTCCTTCGTTTGAGTGTAGTGAAGAAGCGAGGAAGAGATAGGCATTCACTTTTGAGCACATGCTATCAAATCCATTGCCCGACGTCATCGTACAATCATTTGCGTATGAGGTGATAGAAACTTCTTCTGGTGGTCGTGGGAGTTTCGAAATGTAGTGATGTAACAGTAGCAGGGAGGAAACACCACCCTGCGGAACTCCCTGTTTAATTCTCTTGTTCACCTCGAAATAATAACGATGATTGTCGACCGATGGCAATCACGACAGCAGTGTTGCAAATTTGTCAAAGTATCACGTTCTGCGTCAATTTCTGGCAACATTTGCAACACCATTACGTTCTAATTCAAATAATCGGCAAGACTAAATTTTTGTCTGCACATCAGCAGAGTATCCGCAAATATGCAACATAGTTGCTGTACTTGTGTAATTATTACGTAGCTCGAACGCACCCTAGTTTATTCGATGTCCTCAAGCAGCGTTTTATGATTGACTGTGTCAAAAGCTTTTGACAAGGCAAATGCTACGAGAACAGTCCTGTTGTTGTTGTAACGGCTACCTAGTCCCCGCTTAGATAAGTTATAGTTTGGTTGTCGTCGAGGTAATCTAAAGGGAGGCACAAGAAACGAGCTGTTTGGACAGGGTCGGACCATAGGGAAAAGGGTGTTAGATGAGTTGGGTTTATTGGGCAGGCAAACAGTCTTCTCATAGGTCGGTTTCAGGCTGAGGCGAGCTAAGTGCTGTGGTGGTGCTGTGCACTTTACGGTAGCAGTGCTGGTGTTCGAGAGTAGCAAGGACTCAAGTGTTTTCCCTACAGGGGAAAGGAGAGTTATCGTGCGATAAGAGCCCCCTAGATTGGTAGGCTTCCCAGGTTTCAGTAGTGGGTCCACCCTACCGATTTTTCACACATCGGGTATATGAAGAGTGGTCATCGACAAGTTGAGTGCCTTGGTGAGATAAATTACTCCTGTCGAGCCTAGGTGATTTAACATCAGTATATTTATTCCGTCTGGGCCGATAGATTTAGAGGTGACACTCTGAACCTCCTCGTCGATGAAAGCAAGTGGTGCACAGACTTTTGGCATTTTGCGCAACAGTCGGGTAGAATAGATAATAAATGAGGTATGCACCGCGACCTAAGAGCTACCCTCCTCTAAGACACAACGACTTATATATCCCCAGCACATTGATGAATTCCAATATACTGCTAGGTGCTATTGAGACGATGTGATCCCTATTTTGAAACATGGATCCAAGGACATATTAGTTAGCCTAATGCAATATCCAGAACTTAGTTGCTCCAAGGTCATTGGTTTAATGCGGCAACTCGATCTCTTGTTATATGATGTAGGTGTGAATATTACCATAAAGCATTTCTATTTGATTCTATGGATATTCTTTATTAAAAATCCGTGGCCATCATAAAATGAATCAATGTCAATAATAAAAGGGTGGGTTGTTGTTGTTGTTGTAACGATTATCTAATCCCCGTTTGGGTGATAAATTCTAGATTCGTTGTCGTCGAGGTCATCTAACGGAAGGCCCAGGAAACGAGCTGTTTCGACGGGGTC